TGGAGCTGCCGCCAATCCCCACGCTGGCATGTGGGGCTCGGGGAGCTGGTGCAGGCGTGTACCTGGAGACCTGCCCCGAGAAGCATCCCATCTTTCCTCACCAAATTTTAGGTGGTCTTCATCTCCCCAGAGCAGAAATGTGAGCCTCATAGCTGGGTCAGGCTGTGGCCTGGAGGTGCCTGTCCCCAGGGGTGCAGGGACCTGTCCCAGCTGCGCCCGAGCCCACCCCGGCGCCGCTCCTGGGGTTCCCCCCCAGCTTTGAGCTCTCCCCTTGAGTTTCTGCCTTGTGTGCATGGCCAGCGCTGCCAAAGCTCTCGGGTGGCTTGGTTTCATGGTTATTATTTATTACCAAAGGTGTGCCAAGGTGCTCAGTTCCCACAGGGGCAGATTACCAAGATTACAGTCCGACCGGGCGGCAATGTCACCTTACGGGAAAGGCAAAGACTTGGGGAGGGGGAAGCAGCCAGGGCTGGGTACCTGAGGGGTGCTGCCAAGCACCCCCCTCGCTGCTTGGCGAGGGGTCGCCGCTCTGCTGGCACCTGGTGCTGGTGCAGCCTGGGTTTGCAGAAGGGCTGAGATGCAGACGCCGGGGACACGGAGCAGACGGAGAGCAGCTTCCCGAAGTCCTGGCTCTGCCTGTATGCAGGCTCAAGTGGGCCCAGGGTTAAGCTGGCCGGGAAGACTGGTGTTGCCTGCTTTGCATTTCTGAGCAGGCGAGGGAGACTCTCGCTGCCTGCCGGCTGTTGCCTTTGGCTTGCTGAGATGCCTCGTACGACCCCGCAAGAGCATCTCTGCCACGCTTCACCCTCTTTATCTCACGGTGTATCTTGTCCTCCCATGCAGAGCTCCACACAGGAGATCGGAGAAGAGCTGGAGGATGGTGTGATCTACAGCATATCGCTCCGGAAGGTGCAGCTCCATCACACGGCCAACAAAGGGCAGCGATGGCTGGGGGTAAGCTGGGGGCTCCGCCAGCCTCCTGCCACAGGGTGTTTTCAGATGTTTCCCTGCCAGAGACATGGTGACCTGATGTCAGGGCTTGGCAGGGTCAATACCAGCCCATGTCCTGCCCTCTTCTTGCTCCCCCATACACTCCTGTCGTGGGGAGTCCTTCCAAGCCTTATCTGGGAATCATGTCTTTATTTGGGAGCGGGGGCAAGGGAGCACCTGCTGGCCTCTGCCCCACGGGAAGGGGCATAGGGGAAAAAATCTGAAGCCCCATTTTGCAAAATAGGGCAACTCTGATTTGCATCTAGATTTTGGCAACCTTGAGGCCTTTCCTGGGATTTCCCAAATGCTCAAGTCTTCTCAGCTGGGTTGCTGGTATTTGGTGTCCGAGGAGACCCGGCTTCCCTTTCCCCAGGCCCGTCACGAGAGCCCCAGGCACTGTAGGGGGTCCATGGTTCCAGCCTAGACCCCAAAGCGGCTTGAGAAGCTGGTGGTTCTGCATTGCGCTTGAACATATCTGTCTTCATCCAGCCCACTGACTTCTGCTCTTGTCCCGGCAGTTTGAGAATGAGTCGGCCTTAAACCTCTACGAGACGTGTAAGGTGCGGACGATAAAAGCTGGGACCTTGGAGAAGCTGGTGGAGTACCTGGTCTCAGCCTTCAAGGGCAATGACTCCACCTACGTCACCATCTTCCTGTGCACTTACCGGGCCTTTGCCACCACTAAGCAAGTGCTGGACCTGCTGCTTAACAGGTGAGGCCACCGTGAGCCCCAAAACACAGCTGGGGGTGGCTGGTGTCTGAGCCCAAGACCCCCAGCATCTTTTGCTGCCATGCCTTGGAGGGCTGGTGGGCTTCTCCCAACCCCATCAGCATGAAGGTTTTGGGGCAGGACAAGGGAGGACACAACTTCCCAGTGAGCTGGAGCCCTCGCAGCTGGTACCCTGCTGCGAGGTGGCCAGTGCTGGATCCTCTTCCCACAACGCAGGGGCTGTGGCAGACTGGGGGGAGCAGGACAATGCATGAGAGGTTCATCCCGACCCCCTGGCAGAGCTGGGGGGGGACGTGGAGGGAGAAGAGGCAGCACTGAGACACAGCCGAGTCCAGGATGCTCACTGCCTCCTCGCTGTGCCCCACCAGGTACGGCAAACTCCACGTGCAGGCGAACGGGGACCATGCCAGGCAAGCTGTGGACGAGCGGATGGAGCTGAAGAAGTAAGTCTGACTGCGCTGTGGGTGAACAAGATGGGTGGCTCTAGTCACAGCTCTTTGATTCTCGTACAAAGGCATGTGTTGTCCCACGGGTGCTCCTGGTGCCTGGGGCTCGTGGGGGTGTACACGGGTTTCTCCTGGCACCCGATTCTCACGCAGACGTGCCTGTGTTGCCCCCCTCCCCGCAGCACCATCTCCTCCATCCTGGGCGCCTGGCTGGACCAGTACTCAGAGGACTTCCGCAAGCCCCCGGACTTTGCCTGCCTCAAGCAGCTCATCTCCTACGTGTGCCACAACATTCCCGGCTCGGACCTGGAGCGCCGAGCCCGCATCCTGCTGGCCCAGTTCCAGCAGCAAGAGCAGAGCGAGTCCGAGGCGGAAGGTGAGGTCCTTTCCCCGCTTGCGGGGGGTCATTTGGGGCTGCAGGTGGAGGGAGTGCTACTGGTTGGCATTGAGGGTCTCCAAAACCTTGTGTCTTGCCACGTGGCTGGACCCCTATAAACCTTGCCTGCGTTTACATGGAGGTACACAGGGAAGCTAATCCAACTGCACCAGAAGTGGGATTTCTAAGTGGATTAGCTAATCTGCCTTTAATCCTCTGCAGACACTTGCGTCCAGGTTTAAAATGACTATCCTTTTATCTGAGCCTCGTTTCTCGAGGCGTGAAGCCAGATGGGAATTAAGAGCCGGGGAGGTGGGATGTGGGGGGGCTGGCGTGGGTCGGCGTGGGCCCCGGCTTGCGGCAGCACTGCGTGCTCAGCTTTGCGCTGTCTCTTGCAGCTGTGGACCACGGCGGCTGCACCTTCCAGCTGGTGGAGGAGAACGGGGTCGGGGACGGGAAGCCAGATTTCCTCTCCTTCTCCCCAGAGATGGTGGCCGAACAGTTCACGCTGATGGATGCTGTGAGTATTCATTCAACAGCCCCGTCAATGGTGCTCTGCCCATCTGCTACCTGCTGCTCTGGGCACAGGCCTGTCTCTTCCCTTCCACCTTTTCCTCCTGGCCTGTTCCCTTCCCAGGGACCCCAAAGAGACCCGTCTCCATCCCTTCATCTTCCAGGAGCTGTTTAAGAAAGTGGTGCCTTACCACTGCCTGGGCTGCATCTGGTCCCAGCGAGACAAGAAGGGCAAAGAGCACCTGGCGCCCACCATCCGTGCCACGGTCTCGCAGTTCAATAGCGTGGCCAACTGTGTCATTGCCACATGTCTCGGAGACCGGTCCCTGAAGCCGCAGCAGAGGGCTAAAGTGGTGGAGCGGTGGATCGAAGTGGCTCGGGTAGGACAGCTCGCCATCCCGCTCGCCTCCCACCTTGGCCCAAGGGCTGAGGTTTTGCGGTGTGCGAATCCCAGCAGATCCCTGGGCTTTCTTTAACGCCGAGTCCTGTCATCTCCTTGTCTGCCCCCAGGAGTGCCGCATCCTAAAGAACTTCTCCTCCCTCCGAGCCATCCTCTCGGCTCTGCAGTGCAATGCCGTCCACCGGCTGAAGAAGACCTGGGACGAGGTCCTACGGTAAGCAGCGCCTGCTGGGCTCCTGCGGCCGTGGGGAGGTTTCAAGGGGGAGGTTGTGCTGTAGCCGTGGCCCTTGAATGTGTAGATGGGATCATCTCAGCTCCAGCTTTGCCTCTTGGAGTGTGTCCTAAACCCAGGGACCAGCGTAAGGTGTCGGGGACCTAAGGAGGGTGAGGAAATAAAAGCACCATCACCTCCTCCTCCTTCCCATGCTAAACACCGTGGAATAGCCCCCAAACAGCAAGGCCCTCCTAGAGCTGTGAGCATTGTGGGGGTCCTTTGGGTGAGCAGAAGAGAGCCCAAGGGGGAGACCCCAGGGTGGCACCATTGCTGACTTCCCCCCCATGTTTCTCCCTGAGCAGGGAGAGCTTCCGCACTTTCCACGAGCTCTCCGAGATCTTCTCCGACGAGAACAACCATTCGCTGAGCCGGGAGCTTCTCATCAAGGTATGGCGAAGTGGCACCCGCGTCGCCCTGTCTCTGGCAGGGAGCTCGGGCTGATGCTGGCAGAAGTTTCCACGGTGTTCCAGCCACCAGGCTAAAGCCCTGGCAGAGCTGCCGGAGTTGCAGGCATGGGTGCAGTCTGAGCAGCAGGCAGGGTTTTCAGACCAGGCTGCACTTTCTGCTTCTCCGCCCAAAAATCATCATTGCCTGAAGCTTGTAGAGCAATTCAGCAAGCAGAGATAAGCAGTGGGGTAGGATCCAGTGCACCCGGTGATGGCTTCTCCCCAGAGGCAGCTGCATTTTATCAGCCCGGTGGAAAGTCCTCTTGATTTCAGGTGGGGTTTTAGCGTTCGTGAAAGGTTGCAGCAAAAATGTCCTTCTTCCCTGTGGAGCCTCTCTGCAGCTTCCCAGCCTAGCTCCAGTTTGGGGGCTGAGAGGACACAAAACGCAAAAGGGAACAAAACATCCCATTGAGGAGCTATTTATACAGAGCTGGAAATAGGAGCAGCAGTTCCTATTCACTGAACCTCTCCTCCCTGTGAGCCATGAAAAAGCTCAGCTGTGATTTCCTCCTCTTCCCCTAATCCCT